TTTTAAGCCAGGAAAGTCTTGGGATGGTTTGTACATAGTGATAGATAAACAAATCACCAACCTTTCCTGAATCATACAGAGCTCCTACTCAAGTTTCCTAAATGGAATTTTCTCACAATTCCATTTGCCACACCATCTTCTAAGTTTTTTAACCAGTCAGGGTCACCATATACTGCTGTATGGGTTGTACACTGTACCAGGGAAGCTGCTAAGGAAGCCAGTGGGGACTGCTTGCCTGGCCTTTGCCCAGAGAGGGCACTTTTTCTAAAGTGAATGAGAAGGTCTTTTGGGCTCCCAGAGGTCTGATAATAGGTACCTTATAGAATTGAACCCAAAGTCGTTGACCTGGCCTTTAAGACCCTCCTTAACTGCCTGCTGTCACCTTTGTCCATCCCTTCCAACTTTCTCCAACCCAGCCTCTCATTACTCATCTCCAAGCTTGGCTTGGCCAGGTTGCCCTGGCTTCTACAGTCAGATGTGCCCAGTCTGCCTGATGGGTAGCAGTGTACCTGATGCTCCCAAATTAGGGCCATGCCTTCGAAAGGAGGATATAGTCCCACCGCCAGCCCTTGGAGTGCTCAGGCACCAGTGCATTTCAGTCTTGTAAACCTCAGAGGATCTAATGTTTGCTTACAGGTACATATTTTTTAGAGGTTTCCAAGCATGCTAACGTGGGAAGGGATGGTATAGCATGTGTTATTCTGCTTTTGGTCTTCAGAGGTGAAGGGCTGAGCCAGGGAGATTTGGAGCTGCTCTTTCCCCAGGAGGCTGTGTTTCATCTGTCAGATCTAAAGCACAGGGCCTCGCTGTCTAAGCCAGGGAAGTCATTCTCCAGGGAATATTCTTTCCTGACAATTCATAGTGCAACGAGAAAGCTAAATGTTCCAATACCCTGTGCAAGTGGACGTTGTGACATGGGATACGCGTTGTCGAACTTTGTAATCTTACCCTTCATTCAATATTCAACACATTTATTTGATCTCTTCCTTTTCTCAGTGTCCCCTTCTTCCTCCACACTCTTCCTTCGTTCCCCCGCTTCCCCCACCTCCCTGCCTTCTGGGAGGGGCTTGCTCAGAGTCACCTTCCTGTCAGGGGAGTGACCGAGGGGATTTCTAGATGTGCAATTAGGGACCAAGGTGCTGACTGTTTTCTTTGACTCAGGACTCTAGATGAAGTACAGCTGCAGGCTGGTGGAATTAAAGGAGCCATGACCTCGAGAGGTGTGTCTCACACCCTATCCCAGATTATACCATGATACAAGGCAATGTCCCCAACTGTAGGGAGGGAAATGATGGAGTGCTCAGCTGAATCTGTGCCAGAAAGGGACAGGTTGCCTGGTCATGTGCCCTGCAAGCAGATATGCTGTTCACTATAAGGTGAATCGTTGAACATCTTAGGGAAACTTAGCACTATTCAGGGTAGGGGGTGAGACTAGCAGTTTCTAGCTGATTATTATTGAGGCTGGCCCATTTGAGCCTCTGATCTCTACAGATATTGCAGGATGAAAGGCTTCTTGAATTATAATTGGATTCCAAATATTTGCCTGGAATAATAGCTTGGCAACTATATGCTGGGAGCTGTAAAATAGAAGCAGTAGTAACCATATTTTTATCTTCCTATAAGTGATAATTACTATGTTTGAGCAAATATGCATATTAAGTGCTTTCTATTCTCTCATTTATTTTTTGTTAATTTTATATATTTAAGGTATATGACATGATCTTTTGATATACAAAGTGAAATGGTTACTACAGTGAAGTGAATTAACATATCTATCGTCTCACATGGCTATCCTTCCTTTTCTGACAAGAACACCTAAAACCCATTCTTTTGGCAAAAGTCTCAGATACAACACATTATTATTCAATGTACTCCTCTTGTATGTTAGAGTCCTCGACGTATTCATCCTACATATCTGCACATTGCCGCACTAGTCACAATAGCGAAGATATGGAAACAACTGGTGTTCACTGACGGGTGAACGGATAAAGAAACTGTCGGTCTGTCATCTATCTACCATCATCTATCTATCGCGGAATATTATTTAGCCTTAAAAAAGAAGATTCTGCCGCTCACCACAACATGGGTGAACCTGAAGGACATTATGATAAGTGAAATAAGCCAGACCCAGAAATAAAAAATCTGTATTATTTCACTATATGTGGAATCCTTAAAAAAAAAGTCAAATACACAGAGATAGAGAATAAAATGGTATTTACCAGAGGCAGGGTAGGGGTGCAGGGAGGAATGAGAAGTAGGTCAAAGGATATAGTATCTCATTTAATCATTACACCAGCCCCATGAAGTAGGTGATATCTAGTTTTGGTGGTAAGAGATCCAGAGTTCAGAGGGTTTGAATAACCTTCTTAAGCTGGTAGGTAGTTGAGCTGTGATTCAAACTCGGAGTGAGGCCCATACTTTCATTCTCTCCTGCCACCCTGGCCTGCCCTTCCAGTCATGAGCAACATTATAAAACCAGGCTCGTCTAGGAGCAGGCAGAGGCTCAATCAGCTCTTCTACACCTGCTGCCTGTAGCTGCCCCTGCCCAGCACTGCTACACAGCAAATCCTCTGGACTGCTCGGCCGTCACTCTAGGTGCTGCCCTTTACATTTGAGAAATTCTGGAGTAAAGCAAGTTTTGTTACACAAGTCACTTTATGCAGATTCTCTGGCCAAGCCTTAAGGTTCTGATACCACCAGGAAAAGGAAGTCTGGTGTGAGCTCAGTGGGGAGCACACAGTCTGCAGTGGGGCTGATGTGAGGGGCTAGGCTGTGGGAGAGGATACAGACTCTTCTCTCTCCCCGCTTAGATGTTTGTCCACATTCCATGATGTGTAAAGAGTCAAGCCTGGGGCCTGACTTGGGGTTTGATGGGAATTTGTGGTTTTCTTGAGATACACTTTGTGGCTGGGTCTGGTGGCTTACTCCTATAATCCGGCATTTTCAGAGGCTGAGGCAGAAGGATTGCTGAGGCCAGGAGTTCAAGACCAGGCTGGGCAACAAAGCAAGACTCTGCCTCTACTTAAAACACACACACATACACACACACACACACACGCGCACACACACACACACGCATGCACAAAATACATTTTGCAAAACCACAAGGTGATTTCATACCTGCTTCTTATAGTTGAGTCCATGAGAAAATCTAAAAAAGATATATTAGAGGGAGTCACTATTTTGGATGAATTTCCTCCACCAGCAGAGGTGACGAGTGTTTTGTAGGGAGAAAGCAGTCTTTCCCCTCACCCACTTCAGTAGGAGCTCCAGGAGGGAGGTGGCTTCAGGACAGGACTGTCACCAGAGGTGACTGATGGGAGTCAGCTGCTGGGTCATGACTGCTGCTTAATGTCCTGTCCATTTCGGGTTCACGAAATGTTCTGCAGGTTGATGTCAGTAGAATTTTCTCTCAGTTTTCTTTCTAGGTCTGACCCTTGGGAAGAATCCAGCAGGAGGTAGGAGCGGAGAAAAGAGAACATAGAGGAAGACAGTTTTATTCCCTTTGTGACCAAGAGGTTAGGTCGCTTGTGACGTTCTGGATATGAAGGTAGACTTCATCTTTATTGATTTAAACTCTCTAAATCCATGTAGAATAAGCATAATTGTAAACCCACTGGCACAAGCTACTGAGAAAGGCTGTGTAGTCTTAGCCCCTGGATACCTCTCAGGAAAAGTTCAGTCAGCACTTGTCCATCCTGGGTGCTTTCATATAGTGCCTGAGTCAAGCCAGAGGAAATGGGTCAGAGAGAGACTCCCTCTGGGAGTCTCTGGGAACTTGGTGACTTCATGAGTTCATTGAGGTGAGGGGGTAGTGGGACCAGCATATCGGGCTGGAAGCCGGACAGTTGGGTTTGTAAAGCTGAAATGCTCCATGTGTGAGGGGCTGTGCCACCCCAGTGCCTAGAAGAATGCCACAGGCAGAGGATGCCCTCAATAGGAAAACATTTGTAATGATATTTTACAGTCACATACAGAAAAGTATGGTTATGGTTCTAATGCAGGATAGAAATATTTTTAAATGTTTTTATTTGCATCACAGACCTCTGAATATCTGATAAAACCGTGACGCCAGATACACACACACACACACACACACACACACCTCACATAAACACACACCCCACACAGAGCAAACAACAAAAATAAACTGTGCTAATATATTCATTCAGTCATGCTTTACATACAATTTCCGGGGGCTCATCGTTTCTCTAACACCTACCCAGCTTAAGAAAATGCCTAGGCCAGGCGCGGTGGCTCAAGCCTGTAATCCCAGCACTTTGGGAGGCCGAGGCAGGTGGATCACGAGGTCAAGAGATGGAGACCATCCTGGTCAACATGGTGAAACCCCGTCTCTACTAAAAATACAAAAAATTAGCTGGGCATAGTGGCGCGTGCCTGTAATCCCAGCTACTCAGGAGGCTGAGGCAGGAGAATTGCCTGAACCCAGGAGGCGGAGGTTGCGGTGAGCCGAGATCGCGCCATTGCACTCCAGCCTGGGTAACAAGAGTGAAACTCCGTCTCAAAAAGAAAATGCCTGACCTAGAGACCGGCCCAGGCTTCAACTCTCTGATTGCAGTCAAGGAGAGAAACAGACCACATAGAAGAATCAACAAAATAACAATGTTTAGCATCTGCCTGAGCAAAATGCGACAGAGAACATCTCTGGAATTCTAATAGATTCATACAACCCTCTTGAAAAAATAGTTTATGTCTGATCTTAACCAGTCTAAGTTAAAAATGTGCTCAGGCTACAGAATGTGTCTGCCCCATGAATGTGGCCACCCTTCAGCTCACTGATGCTTTTGTGCAAAAAGTCGTGGTCCGGATATCTGAAGCCTCCTCCTGCCCCACAATGGGCTGCTATCCGGTAACGGCTGTGAGGTCCCGTTACTGCGGGGTGAGGCTCCTCCAGGACACTCAGATGCCTGCCCAGAGCCCGGCTTATCAGGGGATCTGCGAGCTCGTGCCAAGGCCCTGGCTTTGTCCACCCTGGCCCATCTTGGGGGACTAGATTTTACCCTGAGCAACACACACATTTTGGGTAAGGGCTGTCCCTGCTAAGTAGATTTTCCTTTTGGATTCAGAGTATTCAGAACTGGAGCCAACTCAAGCCAGGTGGAAATGTAAAAATCCACATCAAGATCAACTCAAACTGAGTGAGGCCACGGCCAGCGATGGAGAGTGAAAAGGAAAGAAAATAACTGAGCAGGCAAAGCTCTGTTCCACGTTCTCTCTCCAGCTGCAGCCTTCCACGGGAGAGCACAGAAGGTATTTGTACCAAATGCTTCATAAAGCCAGCCTGGGCACTCTTCTTTAAGGCCACAGTGCTCTACCTTCTATCTTTGGGTTGTTTCTGGCGTCTTGGTTATAGGATGTAAATATCCCCCATGGGAGATGTGCAGGTCACCCACCTGACCAAGCCTGTGCTCCCTGGAATCCCAGAGATCAGAGGCCTCCTGGAAGGCAGATGGTGCCAGGCCTGGATGTCGGCTCCTCTCCCCGCAGCTAGATCAGGTGGCGGCGGCACAGGCAGCTGGAAGGTGCCCACAGAAAGAAATCGAGCACCATGTTCAGAAAGATCCACTCCATCTTTAACTCCAGCCCGCAGAGAAAGGCGGCAGCTGAGAGCCCCTTCTACGAAGGAGCCAGCCCCACGGTGAAGCTGATTCGAAGCAGCTCCATGTATGTTGTCGGGGACCACGGGGAGAAATTCAGCGAGTCCTTAAAGAAGTACAAAAGCAGCAGCAGCATGGACACCAGCCTGTACTACCTGCGGCAGGAAGAGGACCGGGCGTGGATGTACTCCCGCACCCAGGACTGCCTGCAGTACCTGCAGGAGCTGCTGGCCTTGCGCAAAAAGTATCTCAGCAGCTTCAGTGATCTGAAGCCCCGCCGCGCGCAGGGCACCTCCTCAACCTCCTCCAAATCCTCCAAGGGAGGGAAAAAGACCCCTCTCCAGTCTACTCCCAAAGAAATAAAGGTAAGTACTGCTGAGCAGTACAAGCTAGATGTGGGCTCTTCCAAGAGCCTTGGACAACTGTTTGAAAGCTTCTTCCCACCTGTGCATGGCCTAATTAATTTGACACATTCTGAGCCACAGCGCAATAGTCCTCAGACGCTTTACGTGGCCATCCCCCAGCCTGGGGAAGGGTGGCTAAACACGTGTTTATTACTCATTTATTATTAACTTTTATTTTAGGTTCAGGGGTACACATGCAGGTTTGTTATATAGGTAAATTGTGTGTCACAGGGTTTCTATTTTGTCACCCAGGTAATAAGCATAGTGCCTGATTGGTAGTTTCTTGAGCCATGTTTATTTGTAATATCCCGGAAGTAAGAAGGAGCAGGTAGTAGTGTCCACAGAGCAGCTGGGTGGGGAAGACACGGGCTTTGGTGTCAGGTGGCCCTGCATTTGCATTGCACCTGTCAATAATGTTTGTATGGCATTTTGATGAAGCAAATTTTTTCAACAAATTGTGAGTTTTTAAAAAAAATTATTATCACATCTAAAAATTCTGGTGAAGAGTGCAATCATCATATGACTGGATGTTTTCAAATGTTGAGGCGCTTAGCCCCTTCAAACCTGACAACTGTAAGGCTCCTCCATCTGTACCTCGGACCCACGCACTGTGGGGACCCAGGTATAGCCACAGAGAGAGTCTTTGTTTTTTTGGAGATTCCCGGATGGCTTTGGGCACTGGGGGTCTCCAGATAGTCACAAGCCAGAAATGAGTGAAAGAAATAACTTGCATTTATCTTGTTGTTTATGTTTATTGCAGTGTTTTGTATATATCATCTTTTCTTGAGCATCCCAATAAAGCCAGTACAGAAGGTGGGGAGGAATCCTTCAGTATCACAGAAGGCCAAACTGAGGCTCGGTGACCTGCCTGTAGGTGCTAGGTCACCTAAGTTTAATTATCAGCCAGCAATTCATTCAGTTACTCTTTCCTTCATTTCCTCAGACTTGTTTGTATTTAGAGACAGGGTCCTCTGTTGCCCAGGCTGGAGTGCAGTGGCACAATCATAGCTCACTGCAACCTCAACCTCCTGGGCTCAAGTGATCTTCCCATCTCAGCTCCCCAAGTAGCTGGGACTACATGCACCTGCCACTACACCTGGCTAATTTTAAAAGTGTTTTTTTGTAGAGACAGGAGTCTTCGTTTGTTGCTCAGGCTGGTCTCAAACTCCTGACCTCAAGCCGTCCTCCCGCCTAGGTCTCCCAAAATGCTGGGTTTACAGGTGTGAGCTGCCAAACTCAGGCTGTTTTTATTTATTTCTAATGCCTATAGGTTGAGGCTGTTTTGTTGTATACTTCCATCAGTCATTTTCTTGATGACCTGATGGGATGTTTGAAGCAGGCATGTCTCCCGCTTCCTTGCTTTCTCCCCAGAGTGTCCTGTAGGCCGTGTGAGCTCCATTAATGTTGAATGACTGATTGGCCCACTATCAAATCTCTAGGGCTTGGCCTAACTCAATTGGTTTCAACTGTCTGCATGCTATACCAGGTGGGAGCAGTCTAAATCATCATTTTAACTCTAAAGTATGTCAGTGTTCGGGGCCCATACAAAAGGGTCCTAGTCGTGGGCCCTGGTGCTAACTCTGTGGTCAGCCAGCTGTGGATCTGTGGGTCAGCCACCTCTGATGACAGAGGGGGTTGCAGTGGTTTCTGGACTCCTTTCCAGCTTGAATATTCTGGGGTTCTAGCCACTGGCTAGATTTCCTCTGGGCACTACGTTTCCCTGCAGATGGAGCTCTCTCTTGTAGGACCTACCTTCCTTCCTTGTTGAGCTGTCTGAAGATAGAGGGAGGGAATAGAAGCAGCATGACCAGCTCTAGCCCTTTGAATGGCTGTGGAGAGGCACCTGGGCCTGATATAATGTAGGGTTCTCCTTCGGAGATGCCTGTCACCACACTGCAGTCAGGAAAGAGTTTTGAAAGGATACTGCACTGAAGTCAGACAGACCAAGATTTAAATTTTAGTTCTGCTTTTTACCAGAGGTGTGCCTTTGTCAAGGGAAGTTCACCTCTGTGGGTCTGTTTTTCTGTCAGGTAGTGATGGAAGTGATAATATGAGGAGCAGGCTCCTGCACGTAATTGTTCCTGGCACATACCACGTGCTTCCTCCCGGGTTCACGGACTCTGAAATGTTGGGTGCAGGGGGCTTTTCACAGTCTTTAGCAAAGCTGCTCCCGTTCCCCATGGCTCTGACAGAAACAGCTGTATGATGGGCCCACCTGTGAAATGATGGGTATAGCCAGGGTGCACCCTGGCTGGCGGGATGGCCCATGGCTGCCTGGGTCTCTGTGCACTACAGGGACAGGGGATCATGAGGACTCCTTCACCCTGGAATGCCATCACTCCATGCTTTGGGAGAAAACCCTGCTGATGTTCCAGGTTTAGGGAAAACACCATTCTTTCCCTTGACTACCTAAGTTGAACTGTATCTGCTCCAAATGCAAATGTGGAAGTCCTAATCCCCAGTACCACATGTGACCTCGGTTAGAAATTGGGTGACTGCAGATGTAATTGGTTAAGATGAGGTCACACTGGAGTAGGGTGGGCCCCTGATTCCATAGGACTGGAGTTTTCATAAGATGGCCACGTGAGGACACAGAGACGCAGGGGGAATGCCATGGACATAAGCCAAGGACCTACCAGAAGCCAGGAGAGAGGCCTAGAACAGGCCGTTCACCAGCACCTTCAGAGGGAGCATGGCCCTGTGGACACCTTGATCTCAGGGTAGCTCTAAACTACCGAAGCCACCCCATTTGTGATGCTTTGTTACGGTGGCCCTAGGAAATGAATATACCACTCTATAGAATTAGCCTCTTCTCTTCTCCAGGATTGTCTGAACACACCTCTGTTTTAGCATTCCTCACATCCTATTGTGGTTTGTTAAAATGCATGTCTCCCTGGTGGACTGCAGTGAACTTGGTGAGCTTGAAGCTGAAACAGTATCTTTCTCATTTTTCTGTCTCTCAATCATAGGAGTGAATACTATCAGTCATTTGTAGATGCTTTATGGACTTTAAAATCTGATGTCTTTTGTGCCATAGAGAGGGGAGAGGCCTCCATACAGGGAGGGAGCAGTGTTCTCTGTGGCTGCGGGGCACCGTGGCAGGCCTTCCCTGCTGCCCTCCTATCATCCAGATACCAGTCCTCTGGCCTGGTCACAGGACCTAAGTTCCCTTGTCTATTCCTCTTCTGTGGTAAGATTAATTTTAAAAATGGCTTTTAAACTATTTTGATTAAGATCCATTGCAGTAAGAAATATATTTTGGATATTGACCCAGTTTACCTAAACACACAAGCAAAACAAAGGCTTTATGAAATAGACTCACTCCTGTTCCTTGCTTAGGACTCCGGTGTTTTCCGAAGCATTCTATGCTATTCTAATTTTTTTCAAACATCATCATGACACAATAACTGGATTTCACAAGCCATTACTGGATCAAGACATACAGTTTTCATACTCTGGGGTGAGGCTTTCTAACAGGTCCTGTTGACATGTGCATGGCAACCAAGACCAGGGTATCGAATGGTTTGTTATCCGAGTTCCCTGGAGATACCCAGAGCCTAGAAGACCACCCATGATGGGTGATGGGAGGAGAAAGTTAGGACACACTAGAAGCGAGGTGAGCCTCAGGTGGGCTGGGAGCTCCCCCTGGGACCCTGCATGGTGGGGGTCTCTGCCAGGCCCTGTGACAATGTACTCCTCCCTCAGAATAGGCCATTATAAAAATGAATGTTAAAAATTAAAACAACACCACAGATCCATATCTGAGGACTTTTGTGTCAGTACTGGGGATAAGCTGCAGCTTGGGACGCATTGTTTGGATGCTAAAAGGTAGGAATTTCTAACCCAGGGCATGATGTGTGTAGCAGAAGGATGGCATGTTTAAAGTGTGTCTGAACCAACAGGACAAGCCTCCTCCTGCTCTGGGCACCTTGGGTGTTTCTTGCCAGTGAGGAGGAACAGTGATGTTCTCCTCTATACCCACTTCCTCTGCTCCCATGCCACAGCCCAGGCACTGTCAGAAACAATCAGCTGTCATTCCTGACTTCTCATCACCCTCCAAACCTGACATGTTGGCTATTAACCACAGTCTACAGAGGAGAAAACTGGAGCTCAGGGGTTTTAAGATATTTGTGTAAGGCCATGCACCTGATGGAGAGAAAGCCAGGATTTGATCCCCATCTCTATCATGACAGAACTACACTCCTGTCAATGTATCCATAGCATCTTTTGACTGGACAACATATTTCGATCTTGAATAACATACAAGATGCAAGAGTGCACCTTAGGATGCAGCGCAGAAGCTGCTTTATCCTGCACGCCTGGGACAGGGAGAGTCACTAGGGAGGCACCTGCCTCCCACTGCACATGGGTTCTGTGTAGGGTGAAGCTCTCATAAAATGGGAGAGACTGGGCTTCTTTTGTTCAAAAGAAACCTGGCTGAAAGGAAGTGGCCAGAAGGTATGCTTTAAACTGTTTTCTCCCCACAATCCATACATCAAATTTTACTTTCCATCTTTACTTCTCTTCACCTGGCTACCTGTGATTCCAGTTTTACTCTAGATCCCCATAGCATTGAAATTCTGAGTTTATATATCATCTACTTTTGCACTTCTCAGTACACACAGGAAAAGAACTGAGGAAACAGTACAAGCACAGCTATGATGTAAACTTCATGATGGGTGGGCATTATGTCCTCAAATCATTTTTCAACAAAATACTTTCCTATCTCCCAACTCATCCTACAAAGTATCTGAGATGAGTATCTATGGCAGCTGAATTAGCTTCTGTATCATGTCAGAACTCACACTCTTGTCAATATGTCCGCAGCATCTTTTGACTGGAAAACATATTCTGATCTTGTATAGCATACAAGAGGCAAGAGCATGCAGAATTGTCAAGTAGCAACAGAAATAGGAAAATTGGGAGAGAAAAAACATCCATAGAAAATCGAGACCACTCAA